CCTGGTCCCGATTCTATTTCTGAACGTCTCCTGTTCACGTCCAGTCAAACGCACTATTTTCAACGTTTCTGGAACGTTTACGATCGTTCTATAATCGAACCAATATTCGAATTTTATGTTCGAATTAAATTCGAACAAATTCGAACAAAACATTCGAAATAGAAAGCCACTTTCAACCACTTTCAGCCTCATATCTCCCGCACCCTTATAGCTATCGAGACGCAACCACCCCTATGCACGAATGGAGACTTGGGGCTACTATCACATACAAACACCATTCACGTGCGATGTGTAGTTTTGGCGGAAAAGTGAAATATAGGGACATGCACGTCCATTTTTATATGTCCATTTATATATATATATATAGATATAGATATAGATATAGATAATAGAGAGAAAGTAGGTCTGTCAAAAAATGATCCACGAAGATGATTTTTACATTTTTAGACTCGAGGCTCCTTGAAACGTCGAGAAATGCAAAGAAAATTTCAGGTGTTTTTCTAAATGTATGGGTATGTGTAGGGAGAACGATTTTATTCACCCTCTTTGAAGCGTAATAACTCCAGTGCATTTTGTCTTAAATTTCTAAAATTTAGCAAAGAAGTTTGTGTATTGGGGATTTTTGCTATTAAATTTTGGTGGTTAAAGATCGAAAAGATGGAAAGATAAAAGAGGGTCGTGTGTTATATCTAGAGTAGGGTCGAACTTAACGACTATTTTACTCGTCATTAGCATTTAAATTTTTTTTATAAAACTCATCCCTACCCCCAAAATTAAGCGTTTTGCCATTTTGTAATAGTTATAAAATATAAAAAGATTTTAAAAATATATATCACCACAGATGGCGTCACCAAATGTTACCTGCAAAGTTAAGCAACTCGTTACTGGATTTCTTCCGTTGGACATTAAAAATATTTGTATTTACGAAGTCTTCCCGATAAGCATTCATTCCCTCGATAGATCGCTCTGGAATTACGTTGTCGTAGGCCAACAAACGAATGCAGTCGTTTAGGCAAAAACGTTTCAAACAAAATTTTTAATTGCTTAAAGTTGTAATAAAAAGGAAAAAGTAGAAAATTATTGACAATTTCTCAACATAAATAGGTAAGAATGCTTGTAATTTCAATCGTACAGTTTTTATCCATTTCCTAAAAAATACAGAAATTTCTAGTTGATTTTTTGTATAAGACACAAATATAATATAATGATTTATTTTTAATTTATGAATGCGAGTTTAAAAATATTTTCGTGAAAAATGAAACATTGTTACAACAAACCGTAGTTTCACTACCGGCGCATTTCCACTTAACCAATTTCTGCGCTTATCGGAAGCAATTTCTTATATGGAAATTCGACCGAATATCTAATTATTGGATACTAAAATATTAAAATTAGTTTTTAATATAATTAATATGAACTTACATTCTGTACACTTTATTAATGTACAAATAGCAATAACAGTTAATACTTCTATTCTGATTTGTTTTTCCATTGACAGCCGATCAGTGTTATTAAGAAGTTCAGAAACTAAAGTAATTCAAAAATTTTCTCTATCGAACTTCAGGAGCATCTTCCGTATACACATTACCAACACTTTTTACTGTTTGTACTATTTTGATGCTTTCTGAAACTCATAAGGCATAATATTGCAGATATTCTTTTTATCCGAAGACATTTCGACTTGATTTTATTCGAACAAAATGTGAAGTAAAAAGTTTAAAATAAGCTTCTAAACAGAAAATACAATTTCGCATTATCCGTATCGTCTTCAACTTCACAAGTGTTATAATTAAATCACAATATCTGTGTTCAGTAATGTCAGCTATTAAAAACATGCAAAAATTTGTGTTGGAGCCAATACAATCTTTATTTATTAACTAGGGCATCCCAGAAGTGTGTGAAAGCGACGTTGTCTACCATGAAGGTTGTAATACTGACGATTGAGATGAAAAAAACCACTTAGTGCGTGAAAAGCATTACACCCCTGTGGGATCTGACCGCCGTGTTTAATTAAGATGCCGGAGTCGAAAGTGTGTGACCAGTAAATCCAATTTTCATTTTATTATACAGTGTTTACGTATTATATTTATAGTTTTCGTGGTTTAGTTTATTATTATGCATAGAGTTACAAAATAAAAAAAAAAAAAAATGCATAAAAGTAGACAATACGTAAAAAGGTATCTTCTACATCGTCTTTTAGCATGCACGTGAGGAAATTAACAATTCCACGGCAGAGTCGATTTTTCGCGGTGGACGAGTAGCCTCAAATGAAAGTTCGAATCCGCCGTGGAACTGTTAATTTCCTCACGTGCTTGCTAAAAGACGTTGTTAGAAGATATCTCTTTACATATTATCTAAGTTTAAGCATTTTTCATAAATTTTGTAACTTTAACTTACCTGGAAATTATTATCAAATACTATTATGAAATTTCATTGTGTTATTTTTTACCTTAAATAATGCATATTTGTTGTTTAAGTATATCGAGAATGGTACTGTTTAGGGTCTACGAATAGATTAATTCGCTCTCTATTATTTTAATGGAAATAATTAATTCGGACTTCGAACGATTCCGAGTTCGAACGGCCTCCTGCAATAAATTAAATACGAAGTACGTGGCACCACTTATTTGATATCATCCTAAGTTATTTGAAATATTTTACGTTTAATAAATGAGTAATAATTATTAAATACGTAATTAAATTATTTGAAATAAACTTATCCTTTGTTTTTCAAAGAAAATTTATTATGTTTTATTTTCTAAAATATTTTCACGAACTGTAACACAGACGTGTCATCAATACCAAATTGATGTCATTGTATCTGCATTGTCTTCAGAAACTCCATATTTTTCAAGTATCGGATTATATAAACAGCTTCAACAAAACTTATTGGTTTTCAAAAGAATGTTTTCACAGAAAAATAAATGGATAAGAATTAAATAATAAAAAATAGTTAAGAAATTTCTATATAAAGTTCGTCATTTTACGACGTTTACACTACTCTACAGTAAGATAACTCAACGAAAAAGGTACATTTTTACATATATTTTAATATTATAAATATATTTATTCAATTATTTTAATTAATAATAATTAAGAATTCGAGTGAAATGACAATAATCGACATTATATCTCGATTCTGTAAATGCCTCTAATAACTATGCTGTATTTGTAAGAATGAAGAATTTTATTAAATAACATTTAGACATATTTTTATATAATAAAATAAACTTTTTTATTATTAATGTAAAGATTCTATAAAGTATAGAAGAAAAACCTTAATTTATAAGCTAGACGATTATGATTTTCTATATAATCACTTTGTAAGTACTGTATTATAATTATATTAATTGTAATATTATCATTATTATAGAATTTTAATTAATTTATCTTTATAGATGTTTATTCCTTTCCTATCAAAAAACTGTTTCAGTAAATAATGAAACCGTCAATTATGCTTTGTATAAGAGTTCTATGGAAAATGTGGATTTATTCGAAGGCGATATTAGATTGGATACGTCATTTGGAGAGGTGATTTATAAATTTTTACACATTTAATCTTTGTTTGTTCATTTTTAGGACCTATTGTTTTTGGAGGTTCGAGGGAAAAGCGAAGCCGGAATGTCTTCCAATGATCTTAGTACCTTCTAGTTTATTTAACAGAATCGCAAGACGTCTCCAGTTTTCTGGATAGGGTCTATTCATTAAGTTTTCTCTCCATTTGTATGTTACATATCAGAATTCATTATTATGGACTTTCTTGGAAACCCTTTTATGGTGACCCTGAAATCCAGACTTAGCCAAAGATCAAGAATTAGACGACCAAGAATGTCGTATTCTAATCACATGTGATTACCACTTTAATTAACATCTCTCGAATAGAAGAAACAATGTTTCGATATTTAATATTCTTGTGTATTTTGTCTTTCGGATTTTCTACTCCTTTCTTTTTGTGAACACAAAAGAGGCCTTAACCAGTGCCCATTGTGGGTTTGCCCAGGACCACGATGAGGGACTTGGGCAAACCCACAATGGACACAACAATTTTCGCAGGTCGTTTCGGGTTTCCATTCAAAATGGCGATGCTTTTCTTGGTATCTGTATTCGAACTGTCGCATGGATAACAGATGCCACAAACTTTGTAAAGTCCCTTAACATATATTCAATATTGTATTGATATAAAATTATATTCAGAAATATTTTTAAATTAATTAAACAATTTTAAAATATTTAGAGTCGAGCAGTTGTACTGAAAAAGAGTGAACTTTGGGATGATGCTATAATATATATTCTCCTGACATAAGTACGTTATTTTGCTGTATTTGAAAGAATTAATGATATCGATTAAAATAATAATAGTAGTTTCTACTAGATATTGCCAAAATTATTGCTTTAAGAAAAATTTTTCGTTACATCGAGGTTGTAACTTGCTTACGTTTTGTATATAGAAGAACAGAGGATAATTATATTTATATACAGGAAGGAGAAGGGTAAGAATATTGATACGGATATTTAATCATTTACTTTATATTAATAAAAATAAAAATAAAAATAATAATAATAATAATATATATTTCAGATGTAATTCCTACGTTGGGAAACGGGGTGGACGTCAGATTCTTAATTTAAGAAGTAAATGTTTAAATTTCGGAACAATATTTCACGAATTAGGCCACGTTATTGGCTTCTATCACGAACATAATCGACTGAATCGTGATAAATATATTAAAATTTTATGGGATAATATTAAAGAAGGTAAGTCATACTGTTCGATAAATTTTATGCATAAATAGTTTGAACTGATGACTTTTCTTTAACAAACAGATTTTAAGACGGATTTTCGGGTGTACAATGAGAACTTCTTGAGAATATGTGACCATTATAGTTATGATAGCATTATGCATTATGGTCCTAAATCCTTCGCTAAAGATGGTAAAGTAAGTTTCGAGCCAACTCTTCCAAATGTTACCATTAAAGAAATTTACGAACGGATATTTTTCTCAGAATCGGACATTAAATGTATTAACAAGTTATACAAATGCGAATAAATTCTGATGTAAATATATAAATAAAATTTAGTTCATTATCTGAATTTTAATGGTAAAACTTTATTTTAAGCAGAAAATAATTAGATTTTTCCTTTTTGAATGGTATTGAATATCCTAGTTCATACACAAATATGTATGTTTTGTAGCTCTAGACTTAATTTGTCTAATCTGGATTATTTATTTATAAATTAATTGAAAACATAGACTGTCTAAAACTCGGTAAAGCACCATTTATTCACTTAATTTATAAAATATTATAATCATCCGACGAAATTCAACAATGGATTATTTATATTGTCTCGAAATTAATTTATGTTAGTATCTACGAAGACAATTTATTTGTGAACATAGCAACTTTGAGAGTCCTACGTAAGCGTCCTCTTATCTTATTTTCGCGGAATTACCGGCATGCCGGTCTATGCGGGAGAGACCATGAAATCAGACATTTCCGTATGGTAAAAACCGCCATGCCGGTTTAAGTGAGGTTATGGATCTCTGTCTAGAGAGCGCGTTAGAAAAACGAACGAGTTTTTATTCTAAAACTTCAAAACTGTCAGCAGTACATGAAAAACTACGATTATGTGTTTAATTTCTTCATTTTGTCTTCTTGTTTTTTTTAGTTAAGTTATGGCAACGCGACACTTGAGTGATCTGCCTAGAGGAATGGTTTCCGGGAGGTCTTTTATAGAGGTAATTCGCACCTATTCGGGTGTTACAGACGTGGAGGAAACCCGGAAAACACGTGGCTAGCCCATCCTGGCGAAGCGCGAACGTACGACCGAATTCCCACAACCGATTGCAGAGACAGCGTTTACTTTAAACGACATTTAACAGCCGAACGACCTATAGCCGTTGGCTGGCTGAACCGCGGTTTAAAGACGATGACCGTCTATTTCCGAACACCATCTAAACGAATCTCGGCAAAACATTGGCTCTTACTTTCTTTGCCATTACTCCCCTGTTTTAGGAGTCGTTCAGCCAATCAGATTATTCGTGTGACGTCAGAAACATGGCGACTGTGTCGAAATCGAAAACGTATAGGAATTTTTCGGAAGAAGAAAAGAACGTTCCGGCGGAAATTATTAAAAATTAACCCGTAGTTGAAGAGAAGGAGTATGATAACAGTACTCTAGCTTCAAAAAAAACCGCATGGGAGAAGATTCAAAACGAATTCTCCTCGTCATTTCCCTGTAGAGCAGCTCGTACAATAGTACAATTGAAAGGCAAGTTTGAATGTAAAATATTCATTTCAGATTATAAGATCTTGGTTAATATTTTTAACATTAATAATATCAAAGTAGAATAATAATTCAAAATTTTAATAAAAAGAATATAGAAAGTTACGATTATTAATCACCTAAATTAAATTTATTACAATGAAAATTACTTTGGGCATTATATAAGTGAAAGAGTAAGGGGAAAAAACCCATATTTTAATTATAATTTCAATTTTACTATTACGTGTCCGAATTGTAGAACTCTATTCTGAATCAAGATTTCATATCCTACTAATCTCTACTTCTATTTATTAGATTAATATATTATGTAAATATATAAATATTAAAACAGCATATTTAAGAAAAGTTTACTAGAAAAGTATATCTTATGATCTATGTTATAGGTTGCTGGAAGCGATTAAAAATAGATGCCAAAAAAGAGGCAGATAATAACCGACGTATTGCACGTATAACAGGTGAGGACCAGCACCATTATCATTGAATCCTTCCACACAACTGGTTTTGTCTGTTTTGGGTGACAGTATTAAACCGTTATCCAATCCGGATGATCCACCATCACCACTTATCATTACATATGAAAATAATACCGAATCACTTACAACTACAAACGAATACTCTAATTCAGGATTATTTTCACCTGTAGTGATAAGTGATGCAGCTGTCAGGGAAAATATGGAAGTGGCAGAAGTGGCAGATGATCCACCACCACCCAAAAGACAACGGTAAATAATGTTCAGATAAAATAATACTAAATATTAATAATTACTTTCTAAAAAATAATTATTCATATTTATAGCATTAACTCATTAGAGAAAGCCCAGATTCAGCTAATAGAGGAGGGCATAAAAACAGAGAAAATGAAACAAGATACAGAAAGGAAAAGGCAAGAAGCGGAACAACTTAACATAGAGTTATTACAGTTAAAAAAGTTGAAACTTCTGCAAGAACTAAAATTATCTGAAAATAAATAAATTTATTTATTATAAATATTAAAACGGCTCTTTTCAGGGCCAACAACTTTAGTTAAGAGTGGTCAGATCATATTAATAAACAATTAGATGAAAGAATATGAAAGAAAAAATATATGAAAATAAAAGAAAGATAAAAGTGAGGCATAATTCATATATAAAATATATATACAGTAAAAACTGCTTAAGCGACCACCTGCATTCTACGGGCACCTGTCAAAACGGGCAAAAATTTCCGGCTCGGAATAGTTTATCCATAGAATCTTCGCATAAGTTACCTGTATTAAACGACCACCCGTGTAACGCGACCGCGGGCATCGATTTTTTGTCCGAAACAATATACAACACCTGTAATAAGCGACCACTTTCGCGAATGTATCTGGTCTAAACTCTCGTTCGAACCCATCCCGGGCACATCTCCCACCCTCGAAATTAGGTGCAGGTGTTAATAAATTAGTCTAGCAATAAAGGAAATTCATTTGAGTTTGTCGGAAAATCTCCGAAATGCAAAGCGCTGTCGTTAGAAGATCGTATTAAAGTTATCACAACAGCAATTAGCAGTGATGTTTAACCGTGGGAAAACAAAATTTATTTTACCCTAGACTTACAGTATTTTCCCTGGGGGTGTAAAATATTGTACACGATACAATTAATCGGCCGATCTCATCGTTTGATAAAATCTATTTTTATTTATTTATTTTGAAGCTCGTATACAGTACACGTGCGATAAATAGTTTCTGTATCAACCTACCTTATTTCCACGATATTTTTAGAAAAATAATATCCAAGTAATTTTCGCAGGCAAAATATTTAATGCAAAAATCAGTTTTACTTCCCTTTTCGATTCCGCGATTGTAATGAAATCGTATAATAAGAAAAAAATAATAAAATCGTTTTATTATTAATTAATAATTTTTCTTATTGTACTTAAGAAAATATTAAATATTAAAAAAATACAGTATTTTTAAAGTTAAAATAAGATTAAACTAACGAAAACCAAAAGCAAACTTATGGAGAGATAGGACACGGTTGTATATTGATAACGTAATACACGTAACTAAGGAGCGAACGAAAAAAACCGAGTCGAATTAATTAAGTCCGAAAAGAGAAAGTGTGCATTATAATCGAGAAAATGCGATTTTCTCGATTATAATGCACTCTTTCTGCGAAAAGAGTATTGTATTAATCTTTAAAATATTGGTGTTAATTCTGTCTTATAATATCATGACGACTCCCGTAAATCGGGTTATCCGATAAGAATAAAATACAATACCAATATGGTCCTATCGTTGAAAAACTTCGCTTATTTTTGCTCATCTCGACTTTTGCTTAGTAGAAATGGTTAAAAAGTGCGCAAAATACGTACGGAAATACGGTATTATAGCACCATCTGTATTGGACGACCACCTGTCTAAAAGACCACTTTTTGAAGGAACAATGGGTGGTCGCCATAGACAGGTTTTACTGTATATAATTTTATTAAATAGCCTATTTAGCTATTGTTTGTGATTACAGAATCATGTTTAACATATATTAAATTCTTTATCACACACACACTTTTTCACATTCAGTATAAAAGAGAAAGTTATAAAGAGTTTTACATGAATACCTCTTAATTATTATATACAAGTATTTATATAAAAATGTTATAAATAGCAACTGTTTAATGAAAATTTTGGAAGTAATGCATTTATAGATTAACTTGCTTGATTACATAAATTTCATTTAATACTTGTTGAGTAAATTAAAACTCACTTTTTGCACCATTTGTGAAAAATACTACCTTTTCTTTATCAATTAATTTATCATAATAATAATTAAAATTATCATGACTAGAGTAACATGTCATCATTTTTAACTGTCATTGTGGCTGTTTTGAATGTTTTAATAAATGTTATATAAACATTTTCCACAATGCATCATGGAACTGCACTTCAGGAACAAGAAATACATAAAATTAAACACAGAAATCATAATTTAAATCTTTTTGAGGAAATATGGATGTATAAAACAATTGTATGAATGTTTATTTAATTTGTTACGTAGGTTATGTTAAGTAATATCTTTATTTAAAATGGATAAAAAGAGAATTATTTTGTCTATGATAGGCTCACTCTTTATCAAAATTGTATGTTCCCGAAAAGGACCTTTTGTGAAAGTCCTAAAGTACTGTTTCATTTAACTGAAATGTCGCAGTACAATAGATCTTCGAAGAGCAGATCTCGAAATTGATTGCTCATTCATTCTTGAAGTTTCTTCCTTTCTTTCTTCATTTAAATGCTCAGTAAGAAACTCCTCCCCTTTAAATTCAATGGCCCAATTATGTAAAATTGCTGTGGCTATTATTATATTTAGCGTGTTGCCTAATTTAGTTCTTAGACAACTTTCAATGCATGGAAATCATCTTTTCCAGACCCCAAATAGTCTCTCAACGATATTTCTTGCTCGTGAATGAGGTTTGTTATACCGTATTTCGGCATAATTCTGCGGATGTAGAAATGGGGTCATTAAATACGGCAAATAAGGATAGCCACTGTCACCAACCAGATATCCATTACAATATCCTTGATGGAGTTTTTCTTTAATTAATACTACTGTTAGAAAAAATTCTACTGTCATGCATTAAACCTGGCCACCAAACAACAATATTTCTAATTTTCATCTTTCCATCACAGATTACCTGAAATATACATTAAAGTTATCAGTTTGAGATATCAAAGATATGATTTGATATTTTTATTTTCATATGTCAAAGAAATAGTCAAGAATATAACTGTTTCATAACAAGGCATAACAATTTAAAATGTTAGAAAAATATATATGCCATTGCATATTTAATAGTCATTTAAGCAACAATGAATTACAGTTACAAAAATATTTGTAGAGAACAATAAAATTGTATTTTATTGAAATATTACTTAAATATGTAATTTTCTAAACCTCATAATTAAGTAAAGATTATATTGTATGTAAATAATTCTCACCTGGCTGTTAATAGAATAATAGGATTTTCTAGTGTAAGTTGAGCTCTACTGCTATCAGGACACAGGATAGGAATATGAGTGCAATCAATTGCTCCAATTATTCCAGGAAAGTTATCCTTAGTTAAGCAACTCGTTACTGGATTTTTTCCGTTGAACATTAAAAATATTTGTATTTAACGAAGTCTTCCCGAGAAGCATTCCCTCGACAGATCGCTCTGGAATTACGTTGTCGTAGGCCGACAAACGAATGCAGTCGTTTAACGAAAAACGTTTGAAACAAAATTTTTAATTGCTTAAACTTGTAATAAAAAGGAAAAAGTACAAAATTATAAACTATTTCTCAACATAAATAGGTAAGTATGCTTGTAATTTCAATCGTGCCATTTTTATCTATTTCCTAAGAAATACAGAAATTTCTATTTGATTTTTTGTATAAGACACAAATATAATATAATAATTTATTTTTAATTTATGAATGCGACTTTAAAAATATTTTCGTGAAAAATGAAACATTGTTACAACAAACCGTAGTTTCACTACCAACGCACTTCCACTTAACGAATTTCCGCGTTTATCGGAAGCAATTCCTTATATGAAAATTCGACCGATTATCTAATTATTCGATACTAGAATATTAAAATTAGTTTTTAATATAATTAATATGAAATTACATTCTGTACACTTTATTAATGTACAAATAGCAATAACAGTTAATACTTCTATTCTGATTTGTTTTTCCATTGACATCCTATCAGTGTTATTAAGAAGTTCAGAAACTAAAGTAATTCAACAATTTTCTCTATCGAAGTTTTCAACAAAATGTGAAGTAAAAAGTTTAAAATAAACTTCTAAACAGAAAATACAATCTCGCGTTAGCCATATCGTATTCAACTTCACAAGTGTTATAATTAAATCACAACATTTGTATTAAGTAATGTCAGCTATAAAAAAACATGCAAAAATTTGTGTTCGAGCCAATATAATCTTCACTTATTAACTACGGCATCCGAGAACCGTGTGAAAACAACGATGCCTATCAAGAAGGTTGTAATATTGACGATTGAGATGAAAAAAACATTTAGAAGCGTGAAAAGCCTTACACCCGTGTGGGATCTGACCGCCGTGTTTAAGATGCCGGAATCGAAAGTGTGTGACCAGTAAATGCAATTTTCATTTTATCATACAGTATTTATCTTTGTATTTTATTTATTTAATTGTTAATTTGTGTAATATTTCGTTTTAAATTTAAATGTAAGAGTTCGTACGTTCCTTCGTTAAAATGTTTCATTTTTTGAGGCGTTCGAATTCAGCAACGTAATACTATAGGCCATCATCGGGTGTAAACCCGAGGATGGCCTATTTATTACGTTACATTTCGTTTAATAAACATTTCTCAGCAGCAAAAGGCGGTATAGATAAATTTGCGTTACTGTACTTTAAAGGTTCACGTTAGTGTGTGATACATTTCAGTAATTCGGTAAGAAGTAATTTAATTTACTGTATAGATACTTCAATAATTCGGAAAACTGAATTTGAATTTTGGTTCGTTATTTTTATCTTAAATTATGCGTAATTGCTATTTAAGTTCGTTCAAATGGGTAATAGTTAAAATCTGGGAGTAGATTAATTCATCTTCTATTATTTTAATGGAAATAATTAATTCGGACCTCAAACGATTCCGTGTTCGAACTGCCTCCTGCAATGAATTAAATACGAAGTACGTTGCACCACTTATTTGCTATCGTCCACGTTGAAATATTTTTATATTTAATAAATGAGTAATAATTCATAAATATGTAATAAAATTATTTGAAATAAGTTTTTTTCTTTATTTTTCAAAGAAAATTTATTATGTTTTATTTTCTGAAATATTTTCACGAACTGTAACAGAGACGTGTCATCAATGCCAAGTTGATATTATTGTATCTGCATTGTCTTCAGAAATTCGATATTTTTCAAGTATCGGATTATATAAACAGCTTCAACCAAACTTATTGGTTTTTAACAAGAACGTTTTCACAGAAAAATAAATGAATAAGAATTAAATAACAAAAAAAAGTTAAGAAATTTCTATATAAAGTTCGTCATTTTACGACGTTTACTCTACTCTACAGTAAGAAAAGTCAATGAAAAAGGTACATTTTTCACATATTTTAATATTATAAATATATTTATTCAATTATTTTAATTAATAATAATTAAGAATTCGAGTGAAATGGCAATAATCGACATTATATCTCGATTCTGTAAATGCCTGTAATAATCATGCTGTATTTGTAATATTAAAAATTTTATTAAATAACATTTAGACATATTTTTATATAATAAAATAAACTTTTTATTATTAATATAAGGATTTTATAAGGTAAAGAAGAAAATCCTTAATTTATAAGCTACACGATTATGATTTTCTATATAATCACTTTGTAAGTACTGTATTATAATTATATTAATTGTAATATTATCATTATTATAGAATTTTAATTAATTTATCTTTATAGATGTTTATTCCTTTCCTATCAAAAAACTGTTTCAGTAAATAATGAAACCGTCAATTATGCTTTGTATAAGAGTTCTATGGAAAATGTGGATTTATTCGAAGGCGATATTAGATTGGATACGTCATTTGGAGAGGTGATTTATAAATTTTTACACATTTAACCTTTGTTTGTTCATTTTTAGGACCTATTGTTTTTGGAGATTCGAGGGAAAAGCGATGCCGGAATGTGGCTCTTCCAATGATCTTTGTGCCTTTTAATTTCTTTAACAGAATCGCAAAAAACGTGTCCAATTTCCTGGTTACGGTCTATCCATTAAGTTCTCTTGTTCACTTGTGTGTTACATATCAGAATTGGACGTTCATTAGGAAGGACTTTCTTGGAAATCTTTTACGGTAAACCTGGAATCCAGACCTTGCCGAAGATCAAGAATTAGACGATTGAGAATATGGCATCCTAATAATATGTCTCACCAGTGTAATTAAGATCTCTCGAATAGAAGAAAATAATGTCTCGATATTTAATATTCTTATGCGTATTTTGTTTCCCGGATTTTCTGCTCATTCCTTCTTGCGGACACAAGAGGAGCCTTATGTAGTGCCCATTGCGAGTTTGCCCAGGTCCACGATGAGGGACTTGAGCAAACCCACAATGGACACAACAATTTTCGTCAGACATTTAGTGTTTCTGTTCAAAATGGTGATGCTTTTCGTGGTATCTGTATTCGGACTGTCGCATAAATAACAAATGCCACAAACTTTGTAAAGTCTCTTAACATATATTCAATATTGTATTGATATAAAATTATATTCAGAAATTTTTTAAAATTAATTAAACAATTCTAAAATATTTAGAGTCGAGCAGTTGTACTGAAACAGAGTGAACTTTGGGATGATGGTATAATATATTACAAGTTTTCTCCTTTCCTAAGTACGTTACTTTGCTGTATTTGAAATAATTAATGATATCGACTAAAATAATAATAGTAGTTTCTACTAGATTATTACAGAATTAAGTTTTTAAAGTCAATTTTTAAGTACATGGAGTATGTAACTTGCTTACGCTTTGTAAGAAGAAGAAGAGAGAATAACTATATTTATATACAGGAAGGGAAAGGGTAAGAATATTGATACAAATACTTAATTATTTACTTATATTTATTTTAATATATATATATATATATATTTCAGATGTAATTCCTACGTTGGAAAGGAGGGTGGACGTCAGATTCTTAATTTAGGAAGTGGATGTTGGAACATCGGAATAATACTTCACGAATTATGCCACGCTATTGGATTGTATCACGAACATAGTCGACCAGATCGTGATAAATATATAAAAATTTTATGGGATAATATTACAGATGGTATGTTATACTGTTCAATGTAGTTTTATGCATAAATAGTTTGAACTGATG